CTCCTTCCCCCTTTTTTTGGGCTAGGGGTTCGGGGGGGGGACCAGGATTTTTTAAAAGGGGGGGGGGGGGTCCCCGGGGGGGAGCAAACCCCCCCCCCCCCCCCCCCCCTTTGGCGTGGGGTTCGGGGCCCGCTGAAGCGTATTGGTATTTTAGAGGACAAACTGTGTCACTTTATGTACAGTTTACAACTATGTTTCAGCTATTCAAAGTTCTAATTTCAAATTAGCTTCAAATTAAATGATTTCCATCAGTATTTGTACATCTGATTTAAGTCGGAAGCGCATTACGACTGTAACTTTTTTTGTCTAAAAGACGAAATATATTTCTCTAAAAGAAATAAAAGAAGCCATTCTTTCGTTATGCTGCAGCGTTTTTATTTCTAATAAACAGCTGAAGTGAAATTTAATATGGCAGTTATTTATATACGTATAAAATGCACACAAAAAAATAGTCAAATCATCTTATGTTACTTACATATATCTTGGATATAATTTTCGTAATTTTGTCCATGCATATATAAAACAGTATATAGCAATTTCTCAGTTCCTAAACTTTTTATGCATTGAAAAGATATCTATAACTTTTAATATAACTAATAACATTGGAATAACATCACTAATATTAGATGTAAATTTGAAGTGAAAAACCAAAACTGCATTTAAAATAATAAAAGCAAACAGGGCAATGCCACCCTACCTTCAGTTTTTTTCCTGCTTATGTTAATTATATGTGCATACATTTCCCTTTCAAATATCGCGTTTATCTGAATTACAAGACATATTGAAATAGATACTATTTAAAAAATAACATACTAATACAATCAAAGATATGACTGAACTAAACAACATGAAATTCTTTCACATATTTTTATCACAATACAACTTATTTTGTAATAGAAACAAACTCTTTTCAAAGGCAGTTAGCTTTATTTGTAAAAAATGCCATTATCCACTTATCAGTTTTTGCTAATTCAGACAAATAAAAAAACTCTTGAATTCTCTATTCTTATCTATAATATACCTTTAAATCATTGAGTTAACCTTGACTCAGAATACACAGTAAAAAGTGATCAAATACATTGAGAACTTAAAGGTAATTAATTCATAAGTATCACAGCCGTTTATGAGATCAATTAAATCAAATCTCAAAATTTTGCAACACGATAGTCATGTTCATATATCAATCAAAATGACTTAATACAATCACATTTGTGATTCAAATGATTCATCAGACCATATAAATATGAAGGGTCTCTTGAATAAGCAACAGTAAAACCTTCAACAGAGCAACTGAAATAAAACAGAAATTTCAAAACAAGAAATCTGATATCATTGTTTATCAAGACCTACATGTGTATGTGTATTGCCACGTATCGAGGAACATAGCATTGACATTATCTTGTTTCATTATATAAAAAAGAAAAAAAAATTCCGATTCACAGGGTCTTAAAATTGGCATAATATTCGTGCGATCATGTCAATAAAAACAGTGGAGAATATGGCAATTTTTAGGTCAGCACAGAAAACGCTACCTCATTGGTCTTCTGCAGCTCTCAGTGAGCTCAAACTGAGAACTGACCTTGTCTTGTTGGCAGAGACATCTAGTGCCCAGTCAAGATGTGCATCCTTGGCCGTTTTGATGATGCTCTTGTAGACAGCATCTCGATGTAATATTCCTCCAAAAATATATGGCTGAAAATAATTTTTACGAATATATATAGTGGAATGGTATAATTATTTTTATTCAGTATAATTCATATTTATTTGATCATTAATTTATTTTGATTTTTAATAAAGTAGATTATGTTGTTGTTGTTGTTGCTTATTTTTCAGTAATTCTTTAGAAGTACACGTAGGTACTAACTGCATATTTTAATAATATATTGAGTATACAAAAATAATAATAAAACAGTGGGTTTGCCATGGCATCATGTTTAAGTCTGGTGATAGATAATAATAATAATAATAATAATAATAATAATAATAATAATAATAATAATAATATAGATGTACAAAATTACCTTGTCCTTGTCTTTGACAGTTATCTCTAGAGACATCCCACTGCCTGGCATCCAGGAAAATGGTTTGGCCTGGAGATTAATTAAATAAAATTTGATTAATTTTTTTTTACCAGTAGATAACTATTACATAAGTTATGCTAGTAAATGATTCAATAAATACTAACCAAAAGGACAATAAATACAAGTTTCTTTTATTTTGCTGTTCCACAATAAGTTAAATTTTAAAATATTTAAATAACTCTACTTTATTAAAAATCAAAATAAATTAATGATCAAATAAATATGAATTATACTGAATAATAATAATAATACCATTCCACTTGCTGTTCCACAATTAGCTTCCTTCTGTATCGGCACCAATGTATTTGCAATGAAGGTAAAGCAATTGATTTTCATCAAGAAATTACCCATACATGACCCCAAATTTGAACTGAAACTTCAAATAAAAAAGAAATGCTTACCTTGATAAGTCTGGTGATTTCTGAGAGAGGGATATTTATATGTTCCTCTGGATTCCTGGAGTTTTCAAAACAAAGGAAACTGGAAAATATATCACTCAGTGATTATCTCCTGGTAAAACATATTTCATAATCAAAATCTTCAAGGTCTCTGTCTGAAATTGAGTTTCAATTTATTTTTTTCAATTGTATTTTAATTGTTAGACAGAAATACATTAAGAGACACTTAGTAAAGAGGCAGTTACTTTACCCCTGCCTCTAATATTGTATTAAGTATCAACCCCAGGNAGTTCTGCAAGGTTCAAGTCAAAAGGTAAAATGGTTTTCCACTTATCGTGTTATCGGTAAAAGTGCACGGCGACGACGGCAATGACGACGACGACAGACGCAGATGATGGCTATATGTACAGACACATCTGTGTCTGTACATAAAAAGTGAAAAAACAGCATAAATTCCCTAAAAGTGACCCGATCATGCTGATTTTCGAACTTGACCTGCGTATTATGAATATTCATCAGTTCTGCAAGGTTCAAGTCAAAAGGTAAAATGGTTTTCCACTTATCGTGTTATCGGTAAAAGTGCACGGCGACGACGGCAATGACGACGACGACAGACGCAGATGATGGCTATATGTACAGACACATCTGTGTCTGTACATAAAAAGTGAAAAAACAGCATAAATTCCCTAAAAGTGACCCGATCATGCTGATTTTCGAACTTGACCTGCGTATTATGAATATTCATCAGTTCTGCAAGGTTCAAGTCAAAAGGTAAAATGGTTTTCCACTTATCGTGTTATCGGTAAAAGTGCACGGCGACGACGGCGACGACGGCGACGACAGACGCAGATGATGGCTATATGTACAGACACATCTGTGTCTGTACATAATAAAATGGACACCTTTTAGTCAGGTACATCTTTCCATGAGCCAGTGAGGACGTTATAGACTTTTCTTTATCTATTAGCACGCACTTTCGCCCACTCTTCCAGTCTGAAATAATGTTAAATAAAAAATTTATGTAAAAATAACTGCCATTAAGTGTTGTCATTTACATGCAAAATTATTTAATTTTCTACAATAACTGTTTTGTTTTTTCATTTCACTTGAGCTTAAAATGACAATCTATCTAGCTAGAGACATATCTGTGAATATCCGTAAAAATCTATCAGTCGCCCTGGTAGAGGGTACCTAATAATAATATAATAATAATAAAAATAATAATAATAATATCAGAAGAAAAACAATCAGACATGGGCTGGATTTATTTCTCTTTGTTAAACACATCTTGTATTATATCGCCTTCACAGAAAACTCATTTCATATTCCACAATGCCATTCCATATTTTCTTAAGTGTTGACGGTGAGAACATTTTACCTGGCAGAGGAACCTCAGATACAGGGAGTGAAAACAGCTCTTGGAATGCCCGTTCTGCACCTGTGGCAGGGAGGTCAAAGTCCGCAGCTGGCTTAGTCTGACTTCCACTGGTCGCTGAGATTGATGATGAGCTGGGAGACGGCTCCAACACAAACTAAAATATTCAATATTATGATTTATTGTGACATAAGTGATAAAAATATATGTGTAAAAGGAAATGTTTTTTAAAATTATGTAACCAGCATAAAGCTGGAATCCAAAAATAAATGTAGTGGATTTCTTGGCTGACTGAAAAAAATCAGAAAAGAAAATTAATACAGGTGTTTATTTATTTTATCTTTTTTTTTCTTTTATTACTAAAAAGTGAATATTGATGTTTTATTACTACTGAATTTGAAATAAGTTACAGAATAAGGGAGATAACTGAAGACAGAGAAAAATATACTGTACAAAATACAGTATAAGTATATATTTTCTTAATGAAGTGTCAGAATCATTTTCAGTAAAGAAATATCAATATGAGACACGGATAGAATGTCTCCAAGGATCTTCAACCTGTTCTGGTCCAGCTGTCCTCTTTCTGATCTCTATGTTACATTAATTCCGCAGTGATTAATAATTCTGACTGCAGTAAGTAAGTCATGAACCCAGAACAATGCCATTCAATGTACAAACTGATAACAGTTGGATAACATCAGTGTCATCCAAGTCTTGTGACATATTTAATCTACCTCCTCCCTCTGTACACACACCAGTAGAGTGAATTGGGAGAGATAGGAAGACTAAACTAGGCTAAAGATCTTTCTCGTCACTGCGATACTTACACGAGACTATGCTTAAACATGTATTTAAAATATAATTTCTACAACCAAAAGCACTCTTTTTTAAAAATTTAGTCTCAGAAGTACATTATGTTTTATCTTAGACTCCTGTGAAGACAATGTACTTTTAATTATTTTCTCTAATCATGTACCACTAGAAAATGTTCAACATCACATGATGTTTATTTTTAAATTATCAACATCACATGTTTATTTTGAAGAGGCCATCTTTTTGCGTTCTTGTTAATGGCCAGAAGTTCGAGATGGCTATAAAATCCATTTTACCACCAGAGGTTGTTCACAGTTTAGACTGAATAAGTACTTGTAGTTCAAAGTAAGTACATCTTGATGTTTTATGTTCCAAATTATAAAAAAAAAAATTTAATTGATAAATCGGGATTTTTTTTCATGGCTAACAGTGGGTCTTTCTATTTAGTTGATCAAATTCTGATCCACAAAGAATAACTAGTGTTTATTACTTTTAAAATGGGTACAGGGTAGAATTCCAGAAGAATCTCTATATCCAATTTTTTTTTCCATTAATAAAACTCAGCATTAAGTTTAGAGACTTGGTTTAGTTTTCATCCTCTACAGTTACAGTACAGGGCCAGCTGAACCAGAAGTTTATAGAGGCACCTCCTGAGAACGTACGACCAGCAGGTTTTGTGACCCATATTACAGGAGTGTGACTGTGACTTGTAAACAGCTCAGGTAAAAATTGTTGGGAAAAATATCATTATTATAGATTTTCTAACCACGTTTTTGTTTAACTGACTAATTAATATCCATACCCCAGTTCAAACTTATGTTAAATTATCAGCTAAGATTGCTATCATTTCCTTCCCAGACAAAAGCTTACCACTTGCTTTTTTTTTCCCTTTTTTTTCTTTTTTTTTGCTGATCAGTTTTTCCTGATTTATTGAACAAGTATACATGGCTTTCAACAGTACATTTTTTTTTTTCAGAGAGCATAGTTTTCAGGAGTATGTTAATTGCCTGTACTCCTGTCCAGAAGCACACTATAGTATCAAAAAATAAAAGCCAGAAATTATATAAATGATACTCATTTCATTTTATATACCATCCAAAACTATTAACTTCAAACCAGAAGGTAAATAACGTTGTAATACCCAAATTTCTTTTTATTGTGTATGTTTTAAGATTATTTATTATAAATGCCATGAATAAACTTGAATCATCTCTTTTCTTTTAACTCAATTATACTTTAATAAACTTGTATACATTAAAGGGATAATAACTCCTTCGTATGATATCTATATTTCAAAATAAACACATTGTGAATAACTCATAGAAATATAATATATTCTGTTTTACCACAAAAACGGCAGTTACAGCTATTATTCTGATATCTGAGCTTGCCTTTAGACCACGTGACCTCCATTGATGGCTATACTCTGTTAAAATCTCTTAAGAAATTTTAACAAAAAACCAAACTTTTTAGAAAAAAAAACAGGGACTAACTTTGAATGTAAAAATGGATTCATTAACCATTGGTTAGTATGGGAAAATTGTTGTTTTACTCCAGGAAAATCCATTTTTCTTTGCCAAAACGAAGAGTTATTATCCATTTAATTATTCATTGGTTACTAAGTATTTATACCACAATACAACATATCAAATATTAGAATATATTCCAAAAGATAAAAAAGCTTAATACCTACCAGTAATGGGACTGAATGCATTTTTTTATCTTAATTTTTTTCAGAACACCTGTACACTTGTCCAAGTCCACATTACATCCCCATAAGGTAATAAAATCACCTTGTGAACAAATATTTAATTTTTACATTAAGCAAAATGATTGAAATGTACCTTATAAATACACAAGAACATTTCTCTATGCTTAAAATATTTCCAGTTTGTCGCTGTCTAGAGTACCTGTCATACTGTAGAACAGCATGTTGGTGGAGGACCACAGGAAATAATTAATGTAATTTTTAGCAACAAATAATACATACCTAACTACTGTGTATAGCTTTTCTAACAAAATAATAAGTATCTGGCATACTTATTTTACCATTTTTTTTTTAAATTTCAGATAACAAGAACATACAAGGACAAAATAATATGGTTTTAAGATTAAGCTAATTTTTTTACTTCCCTTTAAGGCAAAATGTTATCAGGGGGCAAATATTGCTAAAATTGATGACAAACACATAATTACCCACCAAATTACCAAAGATTTACTAGTTCTACCTACATGTAGATGTATGAACATAAACATATAGAGCAGTGACACTTCTTCCTACTGTTCCATTCCTGAGACATGGCTTACAGAGAAGTAGCACACAAAGAGAAACTTAATCTCTTACACAGGTTAGAGTTGTCTCCACATTCAAAGACACCAGATACTGTGCTGGAATGGACTGATCTTCGTATAGACTCTGCTCATACAGTCAACCTACCAGAGTCCATTGACAGGTGTAGAAATGTTAAGAAGATATCTGCAGCACATAACTGGTTATCTTCTTTGCCACAGTCCATATCCAACCTGCCACACCTCACAGTGTTGAACCTATCCCATAATTCATTCACTACATTCCCCATAGCACTGTGTGGCTTGACTAACCTAGCGATGCTGGACCTGTCATACAACCAGCTATCTGACATACCAGAAGATATAACCAGGTTGAAGGTGCTCAGAATATTCAGACTCAAAAACAATGCCTTCACTACATTCCCCATAGCACTGTGTGGCCTGACTAACCTAGAGGTGCTGAGCCTGAGTAACAACCAGCTATCTGACATACCAGTGGATATCAGCAGGTTGAAAGTGCTCAGAATATTCAGACTCAAAAACAATGCCTTCACTACATTCCCCATAGCACTGTGTGGCTTGACTAACCTAGAGGTGCTGAGCCTGAGTAACAACCAGCTATCTGACATACCAGTGGATATCACCAGGATGAAGGGGCTTAGAATATTCCACCTCAATAACAATGCCTTCACTACATTCCCCATAGCACTGTGTAGCTTGACTAACCTAAAGGAGCTGGGCCTGGATAACAACAAGCTATATTACATACCAGTGGATATCACCAGGATGAAGGGGCTTAGAAGATTTGACCTCAATTACAATGCCTTCACTACATTCCCCATAGCACTGTGTGGCCTGAATTACCTAGAAAAGCTGTATCTGAGTGGTAATCAGCTATCTGACATACCAGTGGATATCACAAAGTTGACTAAACTTGAGATACTTATCCTGGCATACAATAACATCACCCACTTGCCACCTCAGATGAGTAATATGGAGAGTCTAAAAAAACAAGATGTGAAAGGTAATCCTCTGGTACAACCGCCTAAAGACACAGCCAACAGGGGACTAGATGCTATCAAGAGGTACTTAAAGGCATTAAAACTGAGCAAGTCAATCCAGTCAAGTAGAATACAGGTCAACTTTCTTGGTGAAACAGAAGCAGGAAAAACTAGCATTTCACGTACATTGCAACGAGGAGAATCAACCCTCACAAAGAAGGCAGACAGAACAAGAGTGGTGGAGCAGGGAACATGGGAGGCTGATAAAGATATTGGCTTCAATATCAATGACTTTGGTGGACATGATGTCTATAAAATAGGACACCCAATTTTCATCTCAAAACATGGCTTGGTTTTCATCACTTTCAACCTGTCTAAATATGATCCAGAAAAGGAGGCTCATTATCAGCTCTACATTGGAGACTGGATAGACAAAGTGCAAGCACAGATGCCAGGGATACAAATAGCACTAATTGGTACTCATGTTGACAAAGTTGACAATAGCTTGGCACATGTTAAATGTTCAGTGTTAAAGAAACAACTAGCAGTCCACAAGAGAAAAAAACAAGAATGGTTTGAAACTCAAATGAAGAAGACCAAGGAAAAAATGTCAGAAATAGATCCAAAACAAATCTCCATGCATGAGGCTTACAAGAACAAAGTTGACAAGCTTCAGACATTAGAAGATCAACTGATTCATATCCATGAGCATGTCTTCATGGTTAGTTCCAAGACTAAACAAGGATTTAATGAGCTTACTGTTTATCTAACTTCTTTTGCAAGACAACATGCAGTCAGTCTACCAGGGATGTGGGTTGAAGCAGCCTCTGATATCTGCAGAAAGAGGCAAGATAGTTCTGAAAATACACTCAACTTGGATACTCTTAAACAGGCTCCAGACATACAGTTCAAGCCCATATCATGGAGGACATTCTTTAAGAAGTGGCGTTACCCAGACCAGGAAATTGACCAAACAATCTACGACATCCTTTCCTTCTTGGCCCACCGTGGAGACATCATCTGGTTTGAGACAAGTCCCTTGCTAAAACAGACAATATTTCACAAGCAAGAGATCCTTGCAAATCTTCTCAAGGCAATCCTTAATCATGACATGGATGCTACCATCAAGACCCTGCAAGATTCACTTACAATAACAGCACCCAAAAAATGTGAAATAATTGAAGATCTTAGAGTTAGGGGAATGGTTTCGGAAGAAGCCATGTTGTGTTTATGGCAGCCTTTCAATCTCAGTACTGGAGAAGTAGATGCCATGACAGAACTCATGCAGAAACTGGAGCTGTGCTATCAAGTCCAGGAAGATGAATCTCTTCCATCCAATACCTTATTCCACTTTCCATGGCTCCTCACTGAAGAAAGACAACCTGAGCTAGACACCAAATGGCCCAGCAAGGTTCCCCCAGATACCACGCAACTTACCCTGCAGGTTCTCTTTCCATATAGATGTCCAGATGGCTTATATGAGAAATTTTCTGTCCGTCAGCATAGATATCTTGGATTCTATAGGACCAAGCGTGTTGACTGGAAACATGGGGTGTATGCAGAACTACATGGTTGTAAAATGCAGCTATCTCATCATCAGAGTCAGCCACATCTTAATACAGCCAGCAATGCCACTGACTGGGGCATCACCATATCTGTGCGTGGACAAAACCTCCCAGACTTATGGAGACCACTCATACGTGCCCATGGTGACCTCATGGACATCATTAAAGAGGACTGGCCTGGGCTGTCATATGATAAGTACCTGGTGTGCCCCCACTGTGTGAGTAAGGGACTTGAAGACCCAACACTCTTTTTTGGGGAGATGATAGACCAGCCTTCAACCACTGCCAGGAGATCAGCAAAAGTGCCATGTCAAAAATCTGGTGAAGAAATCGATGCAGATTTGGTTTTCCCCCCATCATGGAAAACAGGTAAATATCTGTGTATAAAATATGTGGTTTGTCTTTCTTTGTTAACATTATGTTCCCCCCACCCCCCATTAAATTAAGTATACTGTAAGTTTATGAGAAATTGTTTAGTACAAAAAAAAATAATAACAAATAAAGACATGGGTTGATGGTAAACAAAGAGATGGGCAAACAAGGAGAGATTTGTTAAAAAAAATGGAAAATGTTCACTATTTGGTCATAATTTGCTTACAAATCTAAAAGATTTAAAATCAAGATATCTGATTCAGTCATTAATTCAATATTTCAGTTCTGCAGCAGAACCAGGACATTCTGGCAGAAAACATCACAGAACCTTGTCTCAAACACATGCTGAATGTTTTCCTCCAAGAAGACATTATCACTGACCATGAATATGAATGGGTGAAGCCAGAGCTCCCTCAACACCAAACCTCAACTACCAGGGTAGTATGTCCAGAGAAAACTGCCATCTTCCTGGACATTCTAACCAGGAAACCTGTCAGGGCACATGAAACATTGTGTCAATGTCTTCAGGAACAAGGACAGACTGATCTTCTTGAACTGATCCAGTAAGGGAGCTAAATACTTTCCTAGACAAACAAAACATTCCTCAAAATTCACAGGATTAAAAGGACAAAACATTTACTTTATCAAATGAATACCTTAGGGAAAATGTGCAAAATGAGCTAGCTGATGTCCTCCTTTAATAGACCAAATGACTGTATGGAGTCCCTACCTGCGGCAGTCGTGTCATGTAGTTGGTTCGAATTTTAATGTATTTTCAGAAAATTTTTGACACTGTCAAACACTCATTCAATGCTAACTGAATACATCTCAGTATAAGTGGGAAATATTACTGACATGAGAAACAATTAAGAAATCTTGTTAAATGGCCTACAACAGCTGCAATAATTTGAGTAAAAGTACAGCCAAATCTGTATATAAAAATGATTGTATATATAGGCACAACCAAAGGACTGTGAAAAAGATTTAATACAAGAACTTCCAATGAATGCACAGATTTTATATGAAAATACAATTTCCTTCATGAAAGTCACACCATGAAGAAGTGCAAGAAGTGTACATTTGCATGTTAAAGATGTTTATATTTTCAGAGGACTTAAACTTGTTACAATAAAATCCAATTTATCCCATATTTAGAAGTGCCTTTGAACTTAATGTGATAAAGTAAGAATCATGGACTAATATCTGAAGTCTCTGGTTTTATGATGGTGAGACGTCATCATTTGGAATAAAAAATGAAGCTTAAGGAACATTCAATATACCTAGTAAATATCATATGGGTACAATTCAAATTGTCTGGGATACTTTTTTTTACCTTTAGCATCTTGGCTCTGCTGTCTCTCTTCTGCAGCTGATCATCAGTAGGAAGAATCTTCCACATTTTGTAAACTGTATCATACTTCTCTTTAACACGAGGGAATCGGTTAAATATTGGGTCCTGGATAAATAACTTGAATCCAACCTGCAGACCTGTAAATATATAGTCATTAGAAATACTATCAAATATAATCAAAATTTAAAAAAAAATTATTTGCTCTTTTTCACATTAAAATAAACATCAGATCTTATTTTGAGTGCACATGCTCATAAATATCAACAATCTGTCTTCATCTTTAGGATGTTTTTTTTATTTATAGTTAGGCACTGGAATCATCACTTTCAATGTATAAAACAAACACAGTCAACTATAAATTTCCCAGTTGTTTCTGACATTAGCGAGTATGTGCATCTGTGTGCCTTTGTTTGATAAAGTTGTTACATCGTATGTGTATGCACATGCCCTACCTGCTATAAAAAAGAAAATTCTGCCAGGAAGAAGACAAGAGGCAATAAATAAGGCAACTAGCACACCAAACAATCTTTGTGTCTGCTCTGGCTCCTGCCAAGTCAACAAACTGAAATAAAAAAATCCTAGCTGTTACATGTGCTACTCTACACAGAGGCTGATGAAGGATTAAAATTTAGTTTATTCCACTGGTTACTTAGAAATACCTTGAAAATTTAGTCGGTCTTGAAAATTTTGTTGGAAGATGATTCTCCACAGAAATAATTTTTTTCACTTTGAAAATTTTGTTAAACTTGAAAATGGGCCTCGCGATTATTTTGAAAAGTTTGTCAGCTAGTATGGTCGTGTTGGATTAACACATTTTGATTTATTAATTAATTTTTTTTAAATGACAAAATTTTAAATTTATATCATATACTAATGATGACATCCAGGTATGCTATATTGGACCTAAACTGACATGCATTTTTCATTCTTACCTTATGAAATTTAAGATTCAGTAAATAAAAAAGTTCTTTATGCAAATGTGTAATTAACTTAAATTAAGAAATTTAACAGATCAATTATTCTACTAAATGATACACAAGTGAGCTCTAACATGAGTGTATATTAAAACATAATTGGCCATAATTAAAAGCAACCATGATATGAAAATTACAAACTTTTTCAACTTTTCCATTTGATCTGCCAGTAAACCTAAGGTATTCTGCAAGGAAAAAAAGACAAAAGTTAATGCAACACCTGACAGTTTAAGTTTAGCCTGGTAAAACTTTTGCCCAATACTTTCATATATTTTTGGAAAAAGTCTTAAAACTACTTTAACAAGTGGCTTTGTTTTTCAAAATACAGTGGACAATACCCAATNCCACACCCAGACCCCAATACCGACAAAGCCCAAATTTTACGTGGAACGAGTTGAGATTATAGGTGACCTAAATCCATGAGATGGGTACGGGGGCCCTTACCGTCTAGGAGGAGAAGCGGTAACGGTAGCCGTCCGGCGGAGCCGGCGGAGCCGGCGGAACAATCCGGACAGGACCGAAACCATGTGTACCGCCAGCGCTAACGCTGGTGGTACAATTACTATAGATCTATAATGCTAATAACTAATTTTGAAAAAATCTAATTGACAGATTTCTATTACAGACTTACCTGTACTTTCGTAGCTACCTGTACTACAATATTGAATTTATCTGCCACACCCAATTCTTTTTCTTCAGAATCCTATTTTGAAGAAGATAAAATTCCATACTCATTAAAAAGTGCTCTTAAAATAATGATCAATATAAAACTTGTATAAATTAAAAATTGACAAAAATGTTACTTTTGGTACATGCTTCTCTACCTAACAGGTAAAATATTTAAAGCAGGGTAGTTTACCTTCAAAAATGTAAAATTCCACTTAAACATTTTAATCACTATGCTTAAATAAAATCTCCAAGTCATAACTTTATAAATATTTTTCTAAAAATTAGCTCAAATCACATCTTTGTCTTCCACCACTCTGAAGTAATGAAGTTCAATCCTAAAACCCCTGAAATTAAAAGAACACATATTACAAGAGCCTGTTCTTTAACAGCAACTCTATAATATCGAACCATCCTCAAATTTTAAATTAAGAAGCCATCAAGAACTGTCCAGCAATGCACTCCATTTAACTACACTGAACTAAACAAAAATTGATTAAAAAAAAACAGTTGGCATATATCAGAAACAATAATTTATGAAGTATTTTGTTAAGCAAATTTTCTGACTCCCAAAAACCGAGAGTATTAACTTGTAGAACTAAGAAACACCAGGTATGATGAGGGAATTTTGTTTTTACTTATCCCCTAATCCCCTTATCCCCTAATTTGTTCAATTACTAAAATCCTATCATTTAAAAATAAAACTATTCTATATAATATAATAATAAATCTGGTCTTATACAGTAAAATCATCTTGTGTGAAGATGTAAGGGCCATTCAGAATAGAGGATCTGACTACTAACTGATCCACCAACTAAATTCTGCCAACTCCACTTCAAAAGCGATACTGCCAATTTCCTGCCTCAACACGGACTGTCGCTGCAGGGGTCTGGTAATCAAACCTCGGAGCAGAGATTTAATCCGTTTAATGACCCGTGCGGAGGAGGGGCATTGGGAATCAGCGGCATTGTTTTTGAAGTGTGGCTGGCCATATTTAGTCGGCGGATCAGTTAGTACTTGGATCATCTGTTCTGAATGGTTTCATTGTTTCTCTCCTAGGTGTAACTGCAAGAAGCAGCCAGCAGAGAGATTCTTACTTGTACTGAAGATAACTGATGAAAAGTCTGAACACCATCAGGAATAATATACCAGGTAGGATCCAGCCCATTGAAAGAAAGTACAGGTAACTCTGAAATAAATAAATAAATAAATAAATAATACGCCAGGTAGGATCCAGCCCATTGAAAGGAAGTATAGGTAACTCTGAAATAAATAAATAAAAAAATAAATAATATACCAGGTAGGATCCAGCCCATTGAAAGGAAGTACAGGTAACTCTGAAATAAATAAATAAATAAATAAATAAATAAACAATACACCAGGTAGGATCCAGCCCATTGAAAGAAAGTACAGGTAACTCTGAAATAAATAAATAAATAAATAAATAAATAAATAAATAAATAATATTGTATAATAGTTGTACCTACCAGGAAAACTAGCAGAGTTTTAGCTGGGGACTTCCAGCTCAGGAGCAGGTTAAGACCTTTTATTGTGCTGAGGATTTCCTTGAAAGAATTGCCTGAAATCAGAATAATATATGACTCTATTTTCATCCTAGAATACTGTCCAAAGTTTTTAAATAATAAATGAAGAGATCTCTGAGGTCCATATAATGTATGTAATAGATTGTTAACACCATTAGTCCATCTATTTTTTTTTCACGACTGATATACAAATTCCATCTTCCAAGATCAATTAATGTATAAAAAATATCTCAAAAGAATGGGCAATTATAAAATCTGCTAATACAGGTGATTACTGGTAAATATGATTTGTTTTAAGCTATACTTTAAGATGAGAAAAATATCTTCTTAATAAAAGTCTTCACAGTATTCTTAAATGTGTCATATACATGTAATATGGAAATTACACCTGACAGCAAGAAATTGTTGTGTGTAAAAATATGTTACTAATACTACTTTGAGTAATGTCTATAACTAATGGCCTGTTGTTATGAACTACACATTATTGATTATCAATGATTATCAGATAATACAGCAAAATCATTACAATTCATAATAATAAGTAATTCATACAGAAAAAAAAAATAATAATAAAACTGTGTGTGAAAAATGACCAATCTATCTTACCAAATCTCTTCACATTCTTCTTGAGCCTAAAAAGTTAACAAACAGCAAAAATACTTAAGAACCTAGGAAGAGTTCATTGTTGACTCGAATCACAAATAATAATAATAATTCACAAAGGATATCAAAAAACAAACTGTGAACCAATGGCTACTTGCAACAACCACAGTCAGATCTGATCTTAATTTAAACTGACTATTTGGTTATTTGATATTTTGACCTAAACTCATGAGTTCAGAATAGCACTTCCTACTTTTTCACGGCCAGTGGCTCCTCTTCTATCTCCTGGTCATTGGTTTCTTCCTCTCTAAAATCATCCAAGATGTCGTAGAATGTCCAGAATAATCGAGTTTTTATCCTGCCAAACCAGCCCTCAGCCTCTGGGACTGTGTCTACAGAGAGAGGAATATTTTTTAGTAATTAATACGTAATATAATTTCCTTAAGTCTGACAATTCATAACCTCATACTTTGCTGGCTGTGAATTCACACTGCCATTTAAAATTATAACTTAAGATATAATTACAAGGTTTAGAGGCACAACCTGAGACAGAGTGCTAATGATCAAATAAGTAAGTGAATATATAATTAACAGAAATTACAAAGTTGAAAACTTTACTTTTAATATTTTTAAAACTAAGCTTCCTAAATGAACATTTCACAATTTGAGAAGACTCCTGTAAAATAAGTATCCAATAGTTGCCTATACTTCCTACATCACAGTGTTAAACTCATTGAATAGAATTGATATAATACATAAAGGTATTCTTGCTATGAAGTGTGTTTTTTACCTTCAGGAACTTGTACAAATGTCTCAGTTGCCTCTTCTGACAAATCAACCCACTGCGACTTGAGTTCAGCATCTCTGACATGTCAAAAATAAATAGAGCACATTCAGAAAAGATGATCCCTGGACTAACTGATCTGATCAATTGGTTGGGTATGTTAATTGTTAGAAGCCGATGTCCAAATATTCGGATAAGGCCCTTGTCTTTTTTCATGTACAAAAAAGACAAATGCCTATGACTTACTTTAATAACAAAATCTTTGAAAGAATTATTCATGTTAACCCTATTAAATCTTAACATTATAAGATTATAATGTGCATTGGTTCATAAATCAACATGTTTGTTGTTGACGTCCTAAAAGTTCACTGATAAAAACGAGGCCTGTATATCGGGGAAAATCAAAATGTATTCTGGGAGTTTTCTTGGCCCTCCCCATCAAAATGGATCAAGCCGTTACATCTGTACATTTCCTTAGGTTATCTGTACATCACTGAAAATATCTATGTACTGTTTCCTGAGGACAATAACAATTGAACACCCCTTAAGAGTAACTATTAAATGCTTATATTTAATACACCACATGTTAGAGAAGCATTTCATCAATTTTGTAATATTTGACCCTAATGATGATAACTATAACTGCTGCACCAACACTTTTATTTGCCTCACAGTATCTTTACTATTGCATCCCCCAAAAATATGTTTTGATCAGTATGTTAAAAAGGATATATTCCAATCTTAGACTAGAATTTTTTATTAACGGTAATATTAAGCAATTATTAATGTTATGGTAAATAATCTATTATAATTATGGACTGAGCAAAATAGGCAACTATGACCACTGAGACACCAACATTACATTCTAGCAATACAAAATATTGTCACCAAGAACAAAAAATCCCCTCAATTCTTACCTCATCCTCTGTAACACTTCTAATTTCCTTGCAAGGTACTTGTTTTTCCCCGTCTGTATTTCCAAGTTCTTCTCCAGTTTCTTTACCTTATCAGCATCTTTCATCAACTCCAATTCTCTCTCTGGAAAGGTATGAACATCTGTTCACAGTCTGAGAGAAGTTTTACTAAAATCATCCATATTCTCTCATTGATTCAGGAAGTTTCCCTTTATACAAACTTGAAAAGGTCTTCTTTAAATAAAATTAGGTATTTTTCAAACAAAATTTAGCAGCTATCATTTTAGTAGTTACAATTATTGTAATTTTTTGTTTCAAGGTGTTTTCATTACAATGCACCCAATAGTGGGACTGGGATTAGAAATAAGGGGGGGGGGCAAGGCTAAAAAATGTCAACTGAAGCAAGGCAAATATAAAGGCAGATGAAGAAAAGTTTACTGCAACTGATGTATATGTGGGACAAAGATGGCAAAGTCACTCAGTGTCATCTTGGTTCACCAGTCCTTTTAAAATCTCATGAAATGTAAGTGGGATATGTCAATGTGCAGAAAATTTGCTGTAAACTTAGAGTTTGTGGCAAGGATATCACAGGAGCTTGCAATAAAAAAAATTGCATTGCTTCTAATTATAATTTGCTGCTAATTTTTACTAAGGATCCATCACTGAAAGTTAAATTTTAATTATCAAAAAAAAAAAAAAAAAAAAAAAAAGATCTCAGACTGACTCAAGTTCTGGTTCTCTATCATGGTCTCCACCAGCTGCTCCTGGAGTTGTGTCAATTGTGACTCATAGATGGCAACACTGTCATCAGGGACTGAAGCTGTTTTTGTGCTCTCGTCCATCTTCTTGGATTTGTGGTCTGAGTCACGGGTTTCTTCTGTCACTGAGGACATGCATTCTGTTGGCTCCTGCAGAAAATAATGTTACATGTGCATAAAAGTTTAACAGTTTTATTTTTCACTTTAATTTACCAAGATTCAATATTGGAAGTTCATCAAATATTGTAACTTCTCTGTGAACAACTTCAAAACAAATTTAATTACAAAATTGACTACAGTCTAGTTAAGGATTATGAATACATGGTCATTGAATGACTTAAAATATTCTGAAAACATTACATAAAGATAATTTTTACATACAAACACACATGCATTTCAACATTTTTCTAAAGTTACCTCATCATCATCAAAACTGCAGGTCATTTTGGCTTCCTCTTCTTTTTCCAAAGAACGAAACCCTTTCACCACCACATCACTATCGCCTTTACTGTCCAGAAATCGGGACTTGAATGCATGTCGTAGACTCATCCTGTAAGACCTCTTCTTCTGAAGACAGCTATTCCTGTTCAATCTTGTCTTAGGCTGCAGACAATATAAACCTCACAGTGCTGTATTTTAATACTTGTGATTATCTGTCCCCTCTACTTGAACCTGAATTATAAAAATACATGTAATATCAAACAACTGACAGTTTATGTTCTTCCTCCATTGGGTGAATTACAGTGTACACTGTACAGGAGGCATGCAGTAAAATATAATATTTAATAGTAATATAGTAGTAATATATAAGCAAAACACATAAATAATTAAATAACACGATTATACATGCTTAATCACAAATAATTCTGATGTCAAGTCAATGCAGACTTTTAAGTTCTTAAAAATAAAGTTATACTAAGAGGTGTGTGTGTTTATGGG